GTGTGTGTGTGTGTGTGTGTGTGTGTGTGTGTGTGTGTGTGTGTGTGTGTGTGTGCGTGTTTTGTTTCTGGTCGATATACAAGATATAAATATAAATGAAGTGTTTGCTTATTAATACATTTACACGTTTGCTAGAAAATGTTAGCACTGTATCTTAGAAATGTTTGCTCATTAGCACCTAAAGCCTGTGAAACTGAATTAGTTTTCCAATCATAAATATAATTCAGCACATCTAAAATTAACATTTGCCATGCAAGCTAATCTGAGCTTGCTGTTAACGACCGCATTTCAGTCCTGCGTTTTTATGGGATCTGATCCTGAAAATGAACAATAACAAAAAACTGCCGTTTATTGTCTGACTTTTAAATTTTCACTGGCGTTACTGTGGATGGAAGTTTATTCTCAAGTAGTTTATAGTTAGTCTTGTTGAAAAGGAGGGTCCTACCACTAGAGAGATGAAGTCTTTTCTTTTCTTTTTTTTTGTATAATTTTGTGAGGTGCTCCTGGAAAAGAACAGGTGCGTAAGCTCAGGTGTAACACCTCCCCTTCCACACCCTAATGACACAGATCTGCGTAAACGACACTCTGCCCATTCACAGACGACTGCTGTGCGGGAACGAGCTGCCTCATTAGGAACATGCCAGTCAAACATCACTTATTCATGAGCTGGTGAAATTATTCATGAGTGAACATGAAAACAGGAATCACGGCTCAGAGAAGTAAGAGAGGAGCGTGACCTCTTATAGGGGAATTAGTCTTATGGGATGTGATACGAAGATTTTGTGTAAAGCACTCTCTAGAAGACTAGATAAATATGTGCCTAATTTGATAACAGACGATCAACAAGGTTTTGTTAAAACGAGACAAGGCTATCATAATATAAGACGTGTCCTCAATGTACTTTATGAGAAAAACAATAGGGAGGACACTGCGCTGCTATCACTAGATGCGTGCAAAGCCTTCGATAGAATAGAATGGAATTATCTCTTACAAGTGCTCCCCAGATATGGACTAGGTGAAACATTCCTGAAATGGATCCGATTATTGTATACACATCCAACAGCACAAGATTTAACTAATAATAACGTATCAAAACCCTTTAATTTACAGCGATCAACCAGGCAGGGCTGCCCTCTGTCACCAATTCTCTTTGTGTTAGCAATAGAACCTCTGG